TTTTAGGAAAAAAAGTTATATGAAGTACTGGTGATATTTTGACCCCATCTTTACATTCCCGAGAGGAAAAGAGGAAGTCCAGGGACACCCTGTATATCGTCTCCAACCCTTTTTTTATTGTATATCAACGATTTTATGGAAAAAACCAAGAATCCACTATATTGCTTTGCTGACGACAGCACACTTGTTTCGTCATTCCATTTGTATTCCAGGCACAACTTCACCGGTAGCAGGATGTTATATATCTTAATGAGGATCTAGAAGTGATTTCGAATTGGGATGAAAGTAACTAGGTTCAATTCAATGCCATAAAAACCGAGGCATCGGTTTTCCCCAAGAAGATAAATGTCTCCGAACCGAGTATTATAATGTCAGGTCAGACAATTCCGCTTTCTGCTCCGATAAGTTTGTTGGGGGTTAAAATGGACACCAATATGCAAGAATTGCAAGCTTGGAACACTGTTCCAAGCTTTCATAAAGTTTTTTTTGTACCTTGGGGGCTGTCTGACTCGTCCATTTAGTCCAAGTCTCCAGAAAACACTGCAGCCTCTTGGGCTCATTGCGTTTATTCTCCCATCTTCTCATGACACCCATTCCATCAGTCTCGTTCCCTGTACTAGTTTGTACAGGTTCCGTGTTGGATGTTCGTCATATTCTTCTGGGCGTAATTTTGTATGTCCATATTTATGACTTGGATACCATTGACAAAAAAGTAACTTTTTTCAACGAGAACATGAACACCTCACTGGAATTACATGCGCCTTTCAAAACACTTTTCATTAGGAAAAAACATAAACCGTGGATTGCCGGCAATATTAAAATTATAATGAGAGAACGCGATAAAAAACTTAAAAAATTCAAACGAACCAAGAACATTCTCCATTTTGAAGAATACAAACACCTTAGAAATTTCACTAATAAATCAGTAGAGAGAGAGAGAAAAAAGCCTATTTGAATTTTCACATAAGCAGGCATACTAATAATGCATGGGACACCTTAAAAAAACTCAACATATATTATAAGAAAAAGAAGAACGATATTCCAGATCATCTTTCAGATGTGAATGACATAAATGATTTTTTCCTAAACTCAGTTCCCACTACCGGTAAAGGCTTGGACTTTGAACAGTACTACAGTGGTCGACTTGTTGGTCTCAATGTAAGTTGGAGTTTTAGCAGAATCAAGAATAACGACATTTTCAAGTATTTACTAGCAGTAAAAACAACGGCTGCAGGTGCTGACGGTCTCAACATAAAATTCATCATATTATGTTGTCCATTCATAATTGAATATATCTCTCACCTCTTGAACTTCTGCATTGAATATTCAGTAGATCCAACTCAGTGGAAATTGGCTAATGTGATCCCATTACCGAAATGCGAGGTGGTCAGTGAGCTCAAAGACCTGAGACCAATCAGCATTTTACCCGTTGACTCAAAATTATTAGAAAGAAGTATGAAAGATCAACTTGTGGAATTCTCAAACAAGAGAACTGACATGTGGGGTTCCACAGGGATCCATTTTGGGACCAATTCTCTATGTAATTTTCACAGCATTTTTCAAAAATGTTGTCTCGCATTGTTATCTACAAATGTATGCGGATGATACTCAGGTGATGTATTCCTTCCACCCATCAGACATAATGAATGGTTGTCAGAAAATCAACGAAGACCTTGATAGAATTTTCAAAATATCCAAAGATCATTCTCTCTCATTGAATCCAAACAAATCTAAGGCAATGTTGTTCGGGAGGCGAAATGACAGACTTCTTCACCAAAAAAATGTTTGTGTTACTATCAATAACATTCTTGTACAGTTTTGTGATGTGGCGAAGAATCTTGGGCTCTGGATAGATTACTCCTTACGATTCGAAAAGCATATATCGGAATGCATTCGTAAAAGCATCTGGAAACTGAAAATTTTGTTTGGATCTCGAGCCACTTTGAATTTGAATCTTAAAAAAATGCTTTGCGAGTCTCTAGTTCTTTCTACTTTTACTTATTGCGATACAGTCTATAGTTCTTGCCTTACGGCAACATCTACGCAAAAAATCCAGAAAATCCAAAAACTATTCTCTCCGTTTCATCTATGGTATTCGTAGGCGTCAACCCATCAGTCATAAGCTACGAGAAGCTGGGTGGATAAATATGGAATCTCGCCGAAAACTTCACTGCTCCACCTTATATCACAAAATAATCACTACCCAAACTCCCTCCTACCTTTATAAAAAGATTGTGTTCCGCACTGACGTTCACAATCTTAATATAAGATCGAAAGGTACTATAATACCACCAATCCATAAATCATCATTGTTTGAGAGAAGTTTTTCCTATAATGTATCGATCACTTACAATGCTATTCCAAATGATTTTAAGAATATGAAACTCTCCTCCTTTCGAAAAAATTTGTTTGAATTTATGAAATCCTCTAATATCTAGAAAGTGGTTATTTGAATCAGCACATATATCTATAGTTTCACTCAATTTTCATTAGTTATCTGCGAGTGGAAGACCATCTTTGTGCACTCCAGGTGCTCAAGATGAACTCCGCCTTTTCAGTTTGCATAGGAAATGTTGTAGAGTATTTGATAGGTTTCATTTCATTTTGTAATCCTGTGTTCTACTGAATAAAGAATATTATTATTATTATTATATATTGCCTGCCTCCTGTGATTCAGTGCCTCACATTCGCATAAGATGTGTAGAGCTGTTTCTATCCCTTCGTTGCATAATCTGCAGCTGAGGTCTCCGTTGTACAGCCCCATTTTATTCAGGTGTCCTCTAAGCGGACAATGACCGGTTACTAACTCTGTAATTATTCTAAGCCGATTCCTACTATATTGAAGTAGTCCTTCGGTTCTTTTCTCGGACGATTCCCTAATGAAGGTTCTACTGTATTTGTTGCCAGGTACTTTTGTCCAGTACTCTATTGGTCTTATTGCTTCTTATTGATTGTAAAACTATTGATCCGTTCATTTTTTTGAGGTCTCAATTTCATAAGGGTTGCACACTGCAAGATGGCAAACACTTTCGCCTGAAAGACGGATGTGTATAGTCCTAGCGGATAGCTGTAGTTTAGATTTCTATCCGCTCGGTATATTCCAGCTCCCGTTCCAAGTTTGGTCTCTTTATAAAGCATAGATGAGACCTTCTTTGGAGTATTGTTTTCATGTATGGACCTCCGCCCCCAATCATACCCTAAAGCTGCTGGATTCCAGCCAAAAAAAAGCCACTCGCCTGATTGGAGACGCGAACATCACTTGCAAACTCAATAGTCTGGAATATCGAAGAAAGATTGGAAATTTGACTGTCTTTTATATATGCCTACACGTGTTCAAGTGACCTGGCACATTTGATTCCACCAAGAGCGGCACATATCAGAAATACGCGACGGACTGTGAGTGTTCACCATTTTGAGGTTCAACTCAGTACACCTCGAAGAAATGTGTATATGTGGAATGAACTTCGTGGTAACGTTTTTCTAAATGAATTCAACCTCCAGCGATTCAAATCCAATGTGAATCGCTACTTTCGCAAAGGCATCGCACTTAGAGCGTCTCAAGGATTTTCCTGTAGTGCTTGTGTTTCCCCTTAAAAAAATATGGAGATGTGAAAGCTTAGCCCGTGGTAAAGCTAGTGGTGAATCCAACTGGTCGCTTCTAGCAAGACAGCGGCGGCCTAGCTTGTTAGCGGACTGAATTTATTCAACACGACTTCCGTATTAAAAAAATTGATATTGGAATGTAATAAACGAAACGATTTTTTTTTCAAATCAGATCATAACAAACATGACACAATATAGATACTGTATTTGTCTTATTTTCATATAATTTGAAATGGAGGTTTTTGAATTATCAGACGAAATTCGACAATTTCGTTTTTTGCGAATATCTCGAAAACGGCTATCGATGTCGCGTTCTGAAAAAATATTTTCATTGACCCTTCAAATAAGCAACTTTTATCTGATTCAGCCAGCCTTGTGAGTTCTACTATTTCCGAGATATCAATAATGGGATCAGCTATAAAAAACAGTCTGTTAAAGAGCAATCCAATAGCTACGGTTTTGACTAGAAATTTCACGTTAATTTGAAGGCATTCAAGCGAAAAAAACTGAGATGATTACTAAATGCTTCGACGTGGATGTTAAGAAAAATATTTTTATTTTCAGGTTTGAAACCTCATGAATGTTCTACCTGTGGCAAAAGTTTTTCGAGAAAAATGCTCCTGAAACAGCATCAACGTGTCCATACCGGCGAAAGACCGTATACTTGTCCAGAATGTGGGAAATCATTCGCCGATAGATCAAATATGAGCTTACATGCAAGACTACACACAGGTCAGTTAATATATACAGTTGGCAAAATCGTATAAATTATGGAAATTTGCATATTTTCATATTCATAATCAAGACTAATTGGTCGTTTGTTCAAGAAGTCGAACAATAAATACATACTAGATAATTGTTCATAATTTTGACAAGTTGGTGCTACATGTTATTTTCTGTTTAGAATTTTTGCTATTACGTGTTCAAAATAAGTCAATAAGTTTTCGAATATGGATTTTTGACAGGCTGATGAAATTTATCCATGAGCATAATATTTTGACAAATATTCAGCATGGTTTTTGACCTAGCGCAATCTATGACAGTCTCATAAACCATATAGAACAAGAAGAGGTCCCAATGGGCATTTTCTGTGACCTGAGTCGAGCTTTCGACTGTGTAGACCACCATATTCTTTCATCAAAGTTGTATAATTATGATATTACAGGTGTTTGTCTGGAATGGTAAGAATCATTTATTAGATGTCGTTCTCAATATGTAAGTCTGAAACATCATCAAAATAATATAATTCGTAATGTTACATCTGCCAATACCGATATTAATATAGGTATTCCACAAAGATCCATTTTGGGCCCAGTTCTTTTTATTTTGTACAAAAATGAAATATCAAATTCCTTTACGGATATTGAGATGACTATTCATGCAGACGACACTTCTCTACTGATTCCCAACAAAAATCAAATGGAACTAAAAGAAACCTGTGAAACTGCTCTATGCCAACTAACTTCTTGGTTCAATCAAATCACTCCTTATTTCCATGCAGACAAAACTAACCTTGTGAAATTCCATAGTTATCAGGGGGAATTGATAGATGTAGATATAATTTTAAATAACACATTTCTGCCTATAAATAACAGCTTTAAATTCTTAGGACTATTCGTTGACTGACATTTAGATTGGACCCAACATTGCAAGCTCCTGATTTCCAAACTTTCATCTCTCCACTATATGTTCAGAAATGTCAAAGTTGTTTTGACACAGCAATAATCAATAAACTTCTACCACGCACAAGTGGAAAGTCGACTGAGGTATGGTATTTGCCTATGGGGAGACTCTACACTGTCGAATAACGTCCTCGTATCACAGAAAAAAATCATTAGGTGTATTGCCGGTGTAAAAAAAGGCTATTCTTGTCGAGAAATCTTCAAAAGGTTTGAAATTCCGACTTGTACAGGCCTCTATGTATTTGAAGTTTGTATTTTTGTGTTCAAAAATAGGGATTTGTTTCTCATAAATAACAATTTCCACGACTACAACACACATCGTAAGGATGATTTACGATTACCACTCTCTAAACGCAAAATTTCCTATAAAGCTCCAGCTTGAATCGGCGCAAAGATTTTCAACAACTTACCTCTCCACCAAAAGCTTAAAACATGAACGTACTTCCAAAAAAAAAACTCAAAAGGATACCTGGTTGAGAAATGTCTGTACTCTTTGAATGAATACTTTTAACTGAATTTTTATTTAACCGTACTACCATGCGGTTGTAACCATGACTCTTTCTTATACGACTGTATGTTGTCTTGAAGAAATAAAGTGATTTGATTTGATTTGATCACGGCATTTGAATTAAATTTTTCCCGAATTAGAAAATTGAAAGTATGCAAAAGTAAATAGTAAAAGGAGGTGGCAATTCAACTTCCTGTCATAATTGATTGATAAAATAAATAATGTCTACGAAATCCTTCATATCATCCTAATCTCTCACATCATATATAGGGGTCCGAGCCAAAGCTTGGCTCGGCTCGCTCGCTCGGAATGTTTCACGAGCCAAGCCGCATTTATCCGAGCCCGAGCTGGAGGGAATCGAACTAAGACGAGCTTTTTCCAACCATGAAACCCCCTATTTCACCCCCTTCAGCCAAAGATTCATGATAAACCCAGGTGTATGTATCCTCAAGAATCTAACTGAATGCAATGAGAGGGTCTAGTTCCATTTTCAACCCCTTAACAGTTTTTGTGATGCACTGTTTGGAACCTTTGGGGTAGTAATCAATAAAACTGGAGTTTTTCCCAACACCAAATCGTTATTTTAACACCTCGACACGTGTATCGATCACCAAGTGATCATCTTCAAGAGGAAGATTAAACAGTATAATCTTCCAGCCTACTTCTCGTTCCCTTTTCGATAGAAACTCGAAACCTTTGGTGTAGTAATGAATATTAATGGAGTTTTTTCCCAACAGCAAATCGTTATTTTAACAACTCGACACGTGATCATCACCAAGTGATCATCTTCAAGAGGAATATTAAACAGTTTAATCTTCCTCTTGAAGATGATCACTTGGTGATCGAAACACGTGTCGAGGTGTTATAACAACGAATTGCTGATGGGAAAAAACTCCAGTATTATTCCCTTAACAGTTCCAAACCCCGACATTACATAATAATACCGAAGTTTGTAAGCTGGTTGTATATCTGTTAAAGAAAAAAATAACCTGCAAAATGGTCAGAGCAGTACCTGAACATAAAATTCATTCTTGAAGTTATTCGGGCAAATCGCGCCAATATTTTTGAAAGAAATAAATCCGTTTTTTGGTTAACCAGCTGTCGACCACTTACGAACGACAACCTTCAAAAGCCAAAAATTGTGCAAGCTGTGGATTAACGGGGTCTTATCCCTTAACTTGCGATTCCTAGCACAAACATCACCTATAAAATGACAATAACTATGCAACAACTCAATTTTCCAAAACCTTCATTATCCTTCCTAAAAAATCGCACATTTGGAACAACGCAGTTCACAACTATCGTTATCGATATATTTCCTGTTATATCTGACTAGGAAACTTTATAGCGAGTTTTGTGTTTCTAATGTTGGAGATGGCAGGAGTAGCCTACCATAGGAAGGTATAGCCAGCCCCAGAGCCGTCGCCATGAAGGGGGGTGGGGGACCTTCCCCCCCTGCTTTTTCGACTTGGGAAAAAGGTGGGAAATTTTAGGCCGTAAAGATATAAAAAAATAATAGTAAAAAAATTAATGAAAATTAAATAAATGAAAAAAAAGAAAAGGGAAAGAACCAGGAGAAGGTTGGAATTTCCCAACATGCATAACTTGGAGATCCCATACTTTGAAATTCTGAGTTGTTTGAAAACTTCAAAAAAAGTTTAATTTCTCCCAAGTAAGAGAAAAGTCCTGAACAGTCCACAAACTTTGAAGTGACAATTTTACAAAATTCCCAACTTTTCGTAGTTTTTTCGACTTGGAAAAGTTGTGAAATTTTGGGCCGTGAAGATAGAAAAAATAATAGTAGAAAACCATAAGCACCATATTGAATATTACTGGAGTTTTTTCCCAACACCAAATCGTTATCTTTAACACCTCGACACGTGTTTTTATCACCAAGTGATCATCTTCAAGAGGAAGATTAATCTACGTATGGCGGATTACATATTACCTTGTAATACTGAGTCACTAAAGGAACTCAACAGAATGAGAAGAATCAAGTAACAAAATTAGAAACTAGAAACTAGAAAATAAGTATTTTTTTTTATTTTTTATGTCAAACGGTTTTATTGGAAAAAAGATAATAATAATGTAGATAATGTACTAAAAACTAAAAAATAATTCGGAAGGTCCTCAGTAGCAGTCATCTGCTACTCTTCTTCTCAGCAATCTACGGTATTGGGCGTAGTATTCACATACTTACTCAGGTTACGCTACGCTTAACTATTTTATCATTTTTTTCACCTTATCAAAACCGTAGATTGCTGGGGAGAGTAGTGTGATGACTGCTACCTAGGGCCTTCCGAATTATTTTTTAGTTTTAAGTACATTACCTACATTTTTTTTCAATAGCATCGTGTAACATAATTTTTTTCAACTTATTTTATGATGAATGTGTCACAAAAAGTTCCAGAACCGTTTTTCGATTCCTCGCATCTAACCAAGATTCAAAATACCAAGATTCATGTTTATGATATCAAAAATGATTAAAGAGTCGTTATTGGTTCGAGCATTCTATTCTTTTCACCACTAGGGGTGAAATTTCAAAAATCCCTCCATATGCCTTGTCTTGTTGTTGTGAGGTGCATATGTGAAAAATCTGAGGAGTTGATAAATGCGTATTTTTTCAGTATGGAAAAGAATTGATGATGATAGCTCGGCTCGGCTCAACTTGGCTCGAAGCACGGCTCGATTTCGAACCAAGCCTCGAGCCGAACCTGGGCTTCTTGAAATTGAAGTGAGTCAAGCTCAATCATAGCTCGGCTCGGTTCGAATACATTCTTAATCATATCGGATGTAGAATTTTCAATTTAATTCAGAAGTATACCTATTGAAAATTTATATACAAATCTAAATATCCACAAACGTAATCGTTTGATAACTGGATTATTTCTTGAGAGCACTAAAAGGTCAATTAGACATGATTTCTTTCTTTCTCTCTTTTTTATCTTCGGATTTGCAAGTTTCTCCTTGCTCGGAGGACTTCCAACGGACTCTCCCTTTCAACGCATTTACTTATTATCTGGTAAACCCAATTACCAGGGTCGTCGGCTTTTTGTGGCTTTATTTTCGATAGAATGCTGCGGCGCAATATTGTTGTACTCAGATCCAACTATTTTAATCATCTTCGATACTTCTTTAATGTATCTGTAGAGTAGGGAAGGTGAGTGTAAGCCCACAGCACTCAGGCCACATGTGACCCATTGTACATCCTCCCGAGGAGGGCACTCGCATTGGACATGCCTGACAGTCTCATCTTCCTGTTCACACATCCTGCATAGAGATGTGTCCACTAGCCCCATATTATGGAGGTGTTTCCTTAGTTGACAGTGGCCAGTCAGAAATCCTACTGTCAAGTGTACATTTTTCCTGGTCATTACCAGATATTTCTTCGGCGCCAGCTTCCCAGGGTCGCCCAAGGTGATCCTTGCAAGATTGCATCCTTTGATTCCATCCCATATCTCTAAGGATTGAGCATGGGTGTATCATTTGGCTAGTTCCGCAATTGTTGAAGTCATCAGGCCGTAGGTGCCACAGGGTCCTAAAATTCTTTGTCCAGCCGCTTCCTTGGCTAAAGAGTCGGCAATGCGATTACCTCAACTCCTTTCGTGCCCTTCAACCCACCTCAGGATAATGTTATTATCAACCGAGGATTTGGCTAAATCTTGCTGACACTCTAGTACTAGCCCTGAGGTTATACATTGTCAGTTCAAGGCTAATAAGGCTTGTCTGCTGTCAGTGCAGATTGTTATGTTTTTGCCAGAAATTCCTTTCCTGGTTATTTCTTTCGTGGCGATTGAAATACCAGCCAATTATGTTTAGACCACGCTGGTATCTCTTCTTATTCCCCACTTAATCCTTAGGCTTAGTGATCTGGAGTACACTTCACATCCTGAGCCTTCCTTGGTTTTTGAGCCGTCTGTATATATTCGTATTGCATTTGTAGCATCTGACTCTGTGTTCTGTTTAATTTGTATTTTGTAGGGTTTATTAAATACAAACCTGGGTTCAATTGCGATACTGGTTGCCAACAACAGAGGTTGCGCAGTAAGCGCTTTCCGCCATAGGCTCAGCCTCAATTGACCCATTCCTACTTCGAGGTTTACACCAGCCGTGCGCAATCGTACCATGGCCATTAACGCAACTTCTACTTCTTTGATGTAAGGAAGGGTTCGCTTGTTGCAATCGTTCCACTTTTTTGTGTTCTATGATCATCAGAGTATTCATTTCCTTCAACATCCTTCTCAATGTGATCTTTTTCCTCAACAAGACTTCGCCCGGTGTTTCAGAGACTACATGCTCGATAAATCCGAGTCTTTCCATCTATTCACTTCTCTCATATTGAAAGTGTTCATTTTTGTGATTCAGGTACTGATTCATGTAATTTATTTTTTCAGTAGATAGATGATCGAGATGTTCCTTTATTGTGAATATATATCATGGAAGTTATTATGCTGCTTGTGAAGCAGAAAGGTGTCTAATTTTCAATCTCCATGGTTCCATACTATGACGTATGGAAAGTATCTTAACCAGATTCGTGGTTTTTATGGGCTTATCCAGGGGCCATCATTTCATGATTCCTCTTGTTTTTGTTCTCCCACCAGAACAAAAACACTCTCTCAATATGCGTTTCGCTAACAAAGTTAACAGAATATCAACTCTTGGTGATGTTGACTTGGTTAGCAAAACGGATTTTTAACTAATCGAATGAACTTGAAAATATTCTCGGACAGTTAAGCGACGTTGGAAGTTCTTGACTCCTACCGAGCAACGTCTAAATTGGTAGCAAATTGCCAAAAACGACTCTTCTCGATAGGAAGTCTCAACGGATTGTCTCTGGTCTGGATTCCTGGCCATACTGGTCTAAAAGGCAATGAGGCTGCTGACTCCCTTGCAAAGGAGGGTGTTGCAAGCAGCTTCATCGGACCAGAACCTGTCATTAGCATCACTTTAGGCTTTGCCAAACAAACATTGAATACCTGAATGGCAAGAAGATTTAAGGACTTCTGGCAGAATCTTCCAGGACTGGCTCAGTAGAGCACATACTTTGTGCGTGTCCCGCTGGGGACCGAATCAAGTTTTTGGAGTTCGGCAGAGCCGTACTCTTACCATCTGACCTGAAAGACCACTTACCATACAAACTAATCGGCTTCATTAAGAAGCTGGGTTTATTTGGTGAAGTGTGAATAGGTATGAGCCGCAATAAACCCTTGCGGGTTTATAAAATCTTTATACAAAAAAATAAATGCGGAAATCTCCCAAAGAAAGGAAGGAAGCAATCAGTTTCAAAAAATTTAACTCTAAAATAGTTGTCTTTCGTGTAATTCAATGTTTATATGAAATTAGCTGTTTCAAGAAGGGTTTTTCTTTCAGTTTGTGTCTGAAAGTTAGTTCTTTGCATGTTCTACACATCTTTTGAAATTGAATGCTCCTTTCTTTCTTCGGAAGATTCCCACATTTTTTTGTATAAGATGGAGAAGTAGAAAGCCAAAATTTCCCTTTTCTAAACATTACTTCTATTCTGTAGAAAAAGATATTGTAAACATCTTTTCTGGGTACTTTGTACCCAAAAATGTTTTCGTCCTCCTGGGTAGTTCATGTTGATAATATTGCGATAAAAAATAAATATTACTGGTATTTGTACTGACGTACGTGAAACACTATAATAGTTGATATCACACTCCGGTCATCATGAAATCAAATCTACACTGAAAAAAACACTTTATTTATATGGATTAGTTTGACAATAATTATTTCTTATTCATTTTCAGGTGTGAAACCGTACGCTTGCACGTTATGTCCAAAGAGTTTCACCAAGAAGCATCATCTAAAGACACACATGAACTTCCACACAGGTCTCAAGCCGTATACTTGCCAGAAATGTGGACTAGCCTTCTCGCAAAGCAGCAATATGAGGACCCACTACAAGAAATGCCTCTTGAAAGATGTCCACTCTGGCAGCAGTGGGGGGCAGGAAACTGAGGACGCAATTAACGATCTTGAAAGTTCATGATCCAAACGAATAAGAAACAATAAGCGGGTGAATCCAAAATAAATGATGCTCTCTCATACTAAAACTGCTTGAATTAGACTATTTCGTCGCTGTGGAAGTATAGTCCATCTCGCATTTCACCAACCATCTTGGTTGGTGAATTGCGCGTCGAGAATAGTATTGCAGTTCTGTTGTGTGGGGCGGGTCTCTATTGTATTTATTCTACGCCGGAAATTCCAATTCAAAAGGCGAGTACTTACTTGGCTAATTGAGAACTTGTTTCATGATATTTTTCACAAACAAAAAGTTTTGTAAGTAACCTAACATCTGAAATTGGTTGAATAGTTTTTATAAGTCATAATAACCGCTCAGTTTTCGAGATACAATGTGTCGAAAATCTGAATTCAATATACACACGTTACATTCAGGTGATGAAGAGAGATGTATTTCGATTTATAATGAGCTACTTGTGATGAATCTTTGTTGTACTAATGAATATTACTTGAATTCTATCCCAACACCAAACCTTTATTTTCAACACTTCGACACGTGGTTCATCAAAAGATCATCTTCAAGAGGAAGATTAAACTATATCTACATACAATGTTGTTCTTATTTATACTATAGATACCTCTGCTAGGTATCTGCGTCTTAATTGTCTTTAAATTAATTCCACATTGTTGCCTTATCTACTAGACAGATAAATCTAATAACAGAAAATTTTTAAGCTCTCATAAGACATTTAGATTGCTGTTGTTGTTAACTTGTCTAACTAATCTTAATGGACTAAAGTATATAGAATGGTTTTGTTGCAAAACATGATGGTCCACTGCTAATTTTTCTGGTCTTCCATATTTTAAATGTGCTAAGTATTCCTTACATCTTATTTTGATAGATCTTTCAGGTCTGTCCATAATATTTAATTTCGTAAATTCCAGACTTCCGAATTCTCGACTTTGTCCTTTGGATTTCTTTAAAAGCTCTGTAGTGTATGACTTGTTCTAAATACCACCTTCATATCTAGCTCCTTGAAAAACTTTCCAAAGTTCTTCGTATATTGGTGATATGGAACTGAGATATATTTATCTTGGTTCTTTTTACAATATCATCTACAATACCTCTCGAGAAACCGTTACTGACTGCTATTTCTTGTATTGTCACTTTTTCTATTGTAAACCTCTCATGTGTGAGAGGTTAGCCTACCTGGCTAACCTTTTCTTGAGCAAATTCTAAATGGAAACTAAAGAAACGTCAAAAGTATTTCCCTAGGATATGGCTGAGGTATGTGGATATGTTTTTGCGTTAGTCGATAACAAAAAATCGAATATTCAGTACTTTCTTTCCTTTGTAAATCAATAAAATTCACGTATGAGTTATTAAATAAAGGAAAACTTACATTTCTTGGCATTTTAGTACTGAGGAATAAATGTGGAAAGCTAGAATACGATGTATTTAGGAAGGAAACAAGCACTTACAGGGTATATTCCTGACAGTTCACATCACTGTGGACAGCACAAACGTGCTGGGTTGAATTCTTAGTGCATCTTCTTTTGACGTTTCCTCTCATACATAAGAGGTTTACAAAAAAAGTGACAATACAGGAAATATCAGTCAGTAACAGTTCCTCAAGGGATATTGTAGATGATATCATAAGAAAGAAAAAGTTAGGTACAGAACAAAATCTCGACTTTTAGAAACGACAAAGTCGGGAATTCGAATAAGTCTGGAATTTACGAAAATAAATGTAAGGACTGCGATGCAAAATATTATGGACAGACAAAAGATATATTAAAATAAGATATAAGGAACACGTAGCACACTTAAAATGTGGAAGATCTGAAAAATCAGCAGTTGCCCATCATGTTTTTCAAAACAGAACCATTCCATAGACTTTAGTTCGTTAAGATTAGTAAGATAATTCAACAATTATGTATAAATAAGGACAACATTGTATGTAGATTTAGGTTAATCTTCCTCTTGAATATAATCACTTGGGGATTAAAACACGTGTTATGATAGGATAGAACTCCAATAATATGTATTGAGGTAGGTGAATAAAAAACCGTACCTCTCGATATTGTCGAATACTCAAAAAAATATTTTTGAAGTTCAAGTTGTGTCAAGAAGAATAAGGAACGTGAAATAAATATTAGTTTTTTTTTAACAGCAAGTAATAACATTCAAGAAAGGAAATAAATAGTATAGTACAACTTCACTGTCCTAAAATGCTGTTGGAATTTGAGTTAGGCATGAATCTACAAATATTTTGGGTATGTTGAAATTCCGAAAAAAACATATTGTTTCCACAACTCTGGAGATATTTTGATACTTCATTAAGGTTAGATTAGGTCAAAAGTGAGTGGATATATTCCACCCTCCATCGCAACCCGCAAGGGTTTATTGTAGCTCACACCTATTCAAACTCGACCAAATAAACCCAGCTTCTTGACGAAATTGATAAGTTTCTATGGTGAGTGATCTTTCAGGTCAGATAGTAAAAGTGTGGTTCTACCAAACTCTGAAAACCTGATTAGGTCCGCAGCGAAGCAGGCACAAAGTATATGCTCTGCTATTTCATCATTTTCACACACAAATACTGTCTTCCGACAGCCTGAGTCTCTGCATATGATGATTCAGACGACAGTGACCTATGAGGAGGTCTGTTAGATATCTTAGATCATCTCTACTGTAGTCTAACAACTGTTTGGATTCAAGCTTCGAAGGGTAAATGAACGACTTGGAGTCTGCCAATCCTGGAAGAATTTTGACAGTTCGTACTGGAAAATTAATCTATTGAAAACACGATCTCTCGAGGCGCGTTTCGCTAACCAAGTTAGCATCCTCAGGAGATTATTATGACAGTGTTTCCAATAGACTCTTGAGATATCGAATATTATTCTGTTATGCAGAATTTTATCTAACGGTACTCACTTACAGGGGATAAGTTCCTCCATTGAAGAAGGCTTTTGTATTTTCGAATTCTCTATTTGAATCTATTAAATAGAATCATATTGTTTGGATATGAAAATCATTCATGTTTGTAAAAAAATGTCCATTACAAAGATGTTGATCAGTACTTAAGGTTGCAGATTTGATAAAAACATCAGGAGAATCGTATTCAGATTGAAATTGTACTCGGGGCCGTCGCCATAGGGGGAATGGAGGGGGGGCTTCCCCCTTGCTTTTTCGACTTGGGAAAAAGTTGGGAAATTTTTGGCCATGAAGATAGAAAAAAATAATAGTAAAAAATGAACAAGAATTAAAAAAATAAAAATGATATAATTTTACAAAATTTTCAACTTTTCGCTGTTTTTTCGACTTGGAAAAGTTGGGAAATTTCGGGCCGTGAAAATGGAAAAAATAATAGTAGAAAACAATAAGCACAATATTATTTAAGTGTTGTTTCCTTTCATTTGTATTGAATATTCCTGTACATGGTGGATATGGTGGAAAACCTAGGACCTTGGTCCAAAGTAGAATAATTCCCATTATTATTTTTATAAATACCAAAATTCATTTTTGTTTGTGCATACCCTAACGGGCATAAGCATTCAGCCAATCTTTGGATAGCTAGGTAAGAAAATTAATATATTATAGTAGTAACTAATCCCTCGGCTTTCATTTTTTCGAAAGTTGGGGAATTTTGCTGGTGAGGTTGGGAAAATTTGGATTCCCTACCCCCTTGCTTTTTTTTTCGCTACGGCCCTGATTGTACTTATTATGATATACTGAAACTATTAATGATAATTCGGTTATTTGTATGTGTTAACTTGAAGTCAAACGATGAACTTGTGTATATTTTTATGAGTGCATTTTGAATTTCTGAATATATTTCAAGTTCAACCTATTCCACTCGGAAAATCGGCTCCTTTCGGATTGGGAATCGAGAACATAAATAACAGGGAGTATTTAGCTTCCCAGTAACATGCACTAACAGAACACCCGAAAATAATCGAATCAAGATAATTACGACATTCATTATCGCATCTATAGGGACGACCGAAGTTTTAAATCAACATGTCATATTTGTATTGAATGAACTGAGTAAAAATGGGTAGAATATGCGTTATAGGCTTATATGCTGATGGTACGACATACCCATTCAATAAAAATATTAGGACCCTCACCGAGATACAATTTTATGAATTTTTCATCAAAGACAGATTCTGGGTGATGACATTTGAAGTTCATGTGAATCAGTATCAAACTCTTCAACACACTGTCGTTCAGATAGTAATAGTATTTGGAACTATGTAACACTGGAACGTTAATATAATCAGAAATCAGAAACAACCAAAAGTCTACCAAGAATACACAGGAATTCAAAAAAATAGCATCGAAAATCACTAATGTCTTGACACTGACTTCTTCACTAAAAGATTAATCAACAACTTGTTAAAAATGAAACTAAAATAGACTAACTTATATCGAGAATACAGCTTTTGAACAAAGAAGTTGAATAAGCTAACTAAGTCGTAAATACAATTTGACTGTACTATAACTCGGAACCGTATAACGTGCGCTAAATCTATCTTCAACCAAACACTACTACAAATCGAATGCGAAGTTTTTAAAACGCTTAATAGAGGAGTGTTGAAGAGTAAATTCGTCACCTGGGCCGGTGAAATAATCAACAAACTCCACATGTTTGCTCTCATTTATGATACTCTCGCAGAGACAAAGGAAACTTCTGGTTTTCATATTTATATACCAAAAACGTATATCTTCATTTGAGACTAGAACTGAGATGCAGATGTATGTCTCTCGGAAAAGTACATTCATATGAACATTGAATCATATAAAAATTCAATGTTCATATAAAAGTAGGCAGGTGTTTCAACATTTATACGAAATTAATTGTTTCGAGAGGACTTTTTCATACAAAGAATTTAGACACTTTATGTCTAAAAATTACTTCTTTGCGTCTTTGTAAAGAGTCTATTTTGAAATTTCCCACGTATAAAGCTGGAGGAGTAGAAAGCCAGAATTTTTCTTTCCCAAAATATTTCCTGAAAATGTTTCTCCTTCAATTCAAACAAGTTATATGGAATGTTTCATATTGAAACATGATCTGTGATAATTTATTTATTTAACAAATCACCTAGGAACTAAGTAGTTTATGACTGTAGATATTGTTAATATTATTTATTTAATTTATTTGTAGAATTATTCCCAGTACCAACTAAATTTTTGTATATTTGTACCAGTCAATAAAAATGTCTATTCAATTCACTGATTTATTTCAAATCCGCATCATGTAACAAAAACATCTATTTTTATAAGGTAGAAAAATGATTACAAGTTTTATCATTTTACCTCTTTATGCGTGAGAGGTGATTTTATTCTATCCTAAACTGCAACCTGCGTGGGTTTATTGTGGCTCACACCTATCGGTGGTGATTTTTCAGATCAGAAAGCAAGAGTGGAACTGTGCACACTTTTATAAGAGGTATATGGTGTATTCGGAGAAGGAATAATTTGTCTTCCTGTGGAACCTAACCATTGGTGACAATTTTTTATCGAGAAAAAATATGTCTATGG